TAGCGCATGCTCTGAGTGTCATGAGCAAGTATCAAGCAGATCTAGGCTTGGAGCATTGGAAAGCAGTAAAGTGTATCCTTAAGTACTTGAGAAGGACTAAGGATCTTTTATTGGTATATGAAGGTAATAACATCGGGGTTGAAGGCTGCACAAACTCGAGTTTCTAGTTTGATGTCGATGATAACAAGTCTAATTCAAGGTATGTATTCATCTTGAATGGAGGAGTAGTGTGTTGGAAGAGTTCCAAGCAAAACACTACTACTGACTCGACCATAGAGGCAGAATACATTGCTACAATAGAGGCAGCAAAAATGGAGTTTGGATGAAGAAGTTCATCACAGATTTGGGAGTCGATTTCGTTATATTGCGACAACTACAGGGCGATTGCTTAAATTTGGGAATCCGGGTCTCATCAGAAGTGTTCTGGGGAGGTTCCAATTGTCAACTTAACCCTAATGGATCCTCCCATATTGGGTATTGGATCTTCATCTAACTACCCAAGCCTCTTAGATTAATGGATCTCTATCCAATAATTTCTCATGATCTCTTATTAGATCTCATCCAGATGATCCAATAATTTAGGGGTTTATTGAATATCCAATAAGATAAGGGCTTCGGTGGATATCTTATATCCGAACCTCTACTCATTGCAATGCCTACCATATGTGTATGATCCTCTAGGCCCAATATCGAGCTGGCCATGAGTCATACCAGTTAGAACTTCTTCTGGCTTAGTGAATTATTATCTCCATAATAATTCACTCGAATCATCGATTGCGGACGTACTAGGCCACTACGCCACAGTCCCTAGACGATATAGAGGAATCCAATCCATTGGACCTGTTTGTCCTTAGTTACCATGTATCTTTAGTCCCTCATCCATCTAATATTCTAGAGAACGTATACCAGGCATAGTGCTATCAGACCCATACGATTTCTACTGGAGTCTCGCTCTAGTCGGATTCTCCCGGAGAACTCTTTCTCTCTCAATACGAATGACCTTGGCTAGGGATTTGTTTGAGCAAGAATATATGAGACATTCCTCTCATGACATTGAGAGTGGATGATCCTCTATCGATACTCAATAGTCCTCGTAAGGTTGACTACCACTCCTGATGACCGGTTGTGTTAAATTTGAGACATCCAAACCTATAAGTCCGGTATCAAAGAGTGAAGCACTCATATAGGATATTTTTTGTGTCTCAAGTCTAAGGACCAGATACACCAACGAGACTATGAAATCGCTGTATGAAAATAAGACATCATCAACCATTCATCATTTCATAAGCGGATCAATCAGTGAACTCATTCCCCAACGAACAC